AAAAAGTCGAGTACATTTTGGGAATTGCTCACATGAATTCAAGTTCAGGTGCAGCAAAGTTTTTTCACCTTCATGTGGAGTTCGATAGCGAAAACAACAGGTGTCCAACTGTCACAGCATTTATATTAAAAACCTGTATTGTCTAGAAAAAAAAAAACCACCCTGTATGCGGTGACGATATGCAAATGCTTTATACACACTGTGACAAAGGCATCTTGTTGATCACAGTAATTCGAAGGTATTCGTGCCTGCATGTTTTTTAACCAGTGAGTGCTTAAGGTAGACCTACCAATACTTCATTAAACAATACAATCATATTCAGTTACTTCAGTGTATTCGTGCCTGCATGTTTTTTAACCAGTGAGTGCTTAAGGTAGACCTACCAATACTTCATTAAACAATACAATCATATTCAGTTACTTCAGTGCCATCCCACTGTCGTGCACACTTATCGCTTGTTGGAAGCTTTCTATGATGAGCCATAAAAATTTCAATTTTTTAGGCTCCATTTAAGAAGCACAACAATGAGCACAATATATAAATAATTCTATATAATGACAGAAGCTAGCATTTCAGGTGAAGAAGAGCACGATGTTCTTGTATAGTGTTCCTTGTAGTGTGTTATTATGTATAATACATCACCAGAATGAAAAGCATTCTGGTGGCGTATTTGCACTTTGTATCATAATATTACAATTTGTATCGCATTCATGAGTATTGTTCATGAATGAATACACAATTTTTTAGTTTGCTGTAAGCGTGTTTGTGCCATTGCTCCATTTGCATAATACTCTTTTAATTTTTTTCTTCATTTCTCCGGCTATAAATACACTATTCGCAGTGCCCATGGCCTATAGGTGGCGCACCGTGCAATCCAAGATGGCTACAAAGAGATGATCAACCCTTGAACTCGCATAAAAAAAAGATAGGACGCACAGACGTACTCTCCGAGCCGCTTTCACCGGATGAACTATTGATCGTCAAATGAATGTATATAGAACCAAAGTACTTTCCCAACCAATAGGAACTGCTGAATGTTTGCTACCTCATTTCTTGCCGTAGTGCAAAGGGTGGTGGTGTCAGCTGATCGACCGTGTATCAACGATGTTTTACGAAATCCTGTGCATGATACAGAAAACTGCGCGAACTAAATTCACGCAAGAACTGAATGGCGCTCCGAGATTATTAGTGCTGAGCCTGTCTGGCAGATTTGCTGCACTAGTACACCACTAGAGAGTAGCGCGCCGTTGCGGCTCCACAAGACTGAATGTTTTAATGTAGCGATGGTTTGTGAACATTTTACGCTGTTGTCATTACTTGCGCTGTAAGAATCATGCAGCTGCCTCTTCAACGAAATACAAGCATTTAACTTTCCTTTAAGTAGCACTTTTGTTACAGGCATGATCAAACTAACAGTGCGCAATTCCCAGAACTCGGATGTTGCAGGTTCCATCAGTGCGATCTAAACAAAGATATCGACATAAATATGCTTTTTGCAACGTCAAAATTGCGAAAATTTGTCGAACCAGAACGTCGTTCGGGCGACACCTGTGAAGTGCAGGAGACGTTAGCGTGGACTGTAGTTGTAGCTGCATGTTTCATTGCTCTAAACATTTCGCTTCACTGGTCGACCTCGAGCGTGTTGGTGGCATGCGGCGCTTTGTAATATCTACTGCAATTGGGATACATTGAATGCACAAGAAAAAGTATGCTTTTATTTTGAGCTCGCTGAAGGATATAAATACAACCATAGTCAAGATGGACGGGAAGTGCAACTCGCTGCTCGCGAGCTAGCAGCTGATTGTTCGTCGCTGTCATTCTCAGCGCGTTGACAACAATCTACGTCCAGTGAAAAATCCTCGACGTCAAGACAGTTTCTTTGGACATCACTGCTGAATATATTCTGAGGAATTCTTTCCGCCGACCGACTTCGATAGCACCAACAACATGTCATTGCACAATCCCAACACGGCGTCACTCACCACGTTAATCAGAGGGGGGGAGGGAACATTTCGCTTCGATACAAAGCATGAAAGAAATTGCTGGCAGTGTGCTGCCATCTATCAACGAAATTACAAAACACGCGGTGCAGCATAGGCTAAGGTTTGGAAGCGCAAATTGTGAGCCTGTGCTACTTTCTACTTGCAATGAATATCATGGGATTCATACACTACAAAAGCACTAACGAATGCTATATGCACATAAAACAAGAGTTTCAATTGCAAAGGTTAGACAAAAACATTTCACTATCCAACGTGGCTGCAGGAAATCTCCAGAGGCTGTTATGCGTACTCTGCGGGCTATAAGCGAAAGCGCGAGTTGAGACGTATTTTCACGATAACATTTCCTCTCGCAAGGACGAATCAGATTTGTTGTGACACGAACACGCAACATACGAAGTTGTTTGTGTTCGTTTCTTGCTAACGCATTAACACCAAGACTAGCACAGCCGAACAAGGGAGCGTTGATTGATATGATTGATATGTGGGGTTTAACGTCCCAAAACCACTATATGATTATGAGAGACGCCGTAGTGGAGGGCTCCGGAAATTTAGACCACCAGGGGTTCTTTAACGTGCACCCAAATCTGAGCAAACGGGCCTACAACATTTCCGCCTCCATCGGAAATGCAGCCGCCGCAGCCGGGATTCGAACCCGCGCCCTGCGGGTCAGAACAAGGGAGCGTCTGCCTACTGATCATCCTTGAGAGGACGCTCCAAATTTCCGCTAGACGGCGCGACAGTCTATGAACATTGCGAATATTTATTGAAAGCTTGTATTCCCAAACTGCAGTCATGTATGCATGTGGGCCCTCAGGCATTCTCCATTGGTTTTAACCGCTTTTTTCCTGACGGACCCCAACTTGTTGAAAAAAAAAACATGTTGAAAATAAATAAAAAATTAAATAAAATAAATGGATTCACAGTTTATTCAAAGCTCTATAGACTATGTGAGCTGGCCATCTCACTCAATGGAACACCAACTTAAAGGGGCCCTGCAACACTTTTTGAGCATGGTTAGAAAACACTGTCGATCGGTAGTAGAGTCTCGCGACAACACGCAAGCCAAATAATAAGGCGCAGCCATCGCCATGGGAGGCTGCGACTTGTCCACGCATGCACGCGCGATCACACTGAAAAAGTCGCGCATTCAAAGAAAAAAATAAAAAGTGCTCAATGTCACGAGGCACCCGTGAAATTTTTCTTTGCCCCTGCCATACTTCCCTGCTTAGCTTCCAGAGCGAAGCAGGGAAGTATGCAGGGAACACGAGCAGCTGAACCATGAAGAGATGCACATTACTAAAGGCGCGGCGGGGAACACTGGTTCAGCGAACGCGTGACGAATGCGCAGTTTTCCGGCGTACCCAAACCATTTGCCACTTGATGACACTGCCCCACCTGCTGATATGGTGCGAGTATAACTCAACCCTCCTCCTTTTACGATCGGTATTTGTTACGAGCGGCGACTAGACTTACCTTGTAAGGAAAACAATGAAACCTGGAGATATATAACATACCCGTTTTACCCGTTTCATTATGCTTAATTGCGCCACATTCGGCAAACGTTTGAACTCATATGAAACAACTTGATTTTTCATTTAATAGATGGAGCTACCACCAAAAAACGCCTGTGAGGTTTGTCATTCATTGAAAATATTTAGTTTAAAGCACTGAGTGGTCAAGTAAGTGAGCACAAATAGATACAAGACACAATATGCATCTACTAATGTGCAATGCTCGTTGATAGTTAGCGTCTTAAAAAGAAAAAAAAAAAGAGAGTTTCTACAGAACTGGCCAGCAGAAAAATTAGCTATATTCAATGCTGTCTTGTAAGTTCTCTAATAAAGATAAAAGAATTTTCTCTTCATAGAATCACAGAAAGGGGCCTGCTGATTTATTATATAGAAGTTCAGAGTATCAGCTTGTATAGTTTTGTCGCTTTATCAGTAATGCAAAGTACAGCCATAAACTGCCCCATTGACACAATAATAATTCATCAAGTTTTCGTCAGAGCACTAAGCACCTTTGTATGGAAAATAAGTCTAATGTAATCTATATAGTCCCTAAATATTATGGTTCTGCTATCTAAAGAAAAAAAGATAGTCCTACACAACACTTCATTATTTTGTCCATTTTCATTGGATCGTAAATTAATTATTAATTAGTTTATATCCAATATCTCTTCATATAAACCTTGAATGGCAGTTCTTCTAAAGGCACAGTGAATTCTGCTTTGTTATATTGAATACTTTTGCTGTATTTGCAGTACAACGGAGGCTTGTAATGTGAAAATGCTTTTGTTGCTCATGCTATTTTCATTGCTACTAGGTAACGCTTCCAACCAGGCATTAAAATCAGACGTCATTGAAAAGGGGGAATAGTAAGCTTTCTAAAGTAGCCCACAGTGAGCACATTGCATCCGCAAACAATGCGTGAGAGGTGGAGTGCTTGCGGCCGGCGTGGGACCATCACCTTAAAGGACTACACTATGTGTGCAGTAGCAGAATAACTGCATAAATACCAAAAGCTTTTGGTAAATGGCTAACTTTGCAGCGATTTCTTGACTAACTGTGGAAGAGGAGTTGTAGTTCCAATACACAGTAAGCCCTAGCTGCAAAAGAAACGGGCCAGTATTATCGGCCCATACATGTCCCTCTATAACATCAAGGTGAAATGAGACCATGAGACCTGTGCAAATGTTTAGCAACACGAAAGTACTCATCAATCCTACTACTCACGAAAAATAGTACTGTGTTGATTACTGCCAAGTCCAGAGTCTGAACTTGGCAGTGCTATCAAGGAATTGTGCCATACAGCAGTGTGAATGGCCCGTGCACTTTACACAGCATCTGATGGCACTGTACTACCTAAGCCAAGACCCATCGCAGGAGTGCCATGGTAGTGTTTCTGTGTGCACCAGTGCTCACAAAATGCAAGTTGTGCCATTGTTGAAGCAACACATTGAGTAAATAATGTTTTACAACGCATCTAAACACATACCTGCTTGATTTCTTGAGGAATCCTCTTCCAGAGGAACTTGGCATTCGGCCTAAGTAGCATAAAGCAGGTGTAATAGCGCTAAGTACACAGCACTTATAAATGTGGAGATTGTACCTACAGATCATTTTGTAGGAGGTAGATGGCTAGCAGCTGACCGTAAGCCTGTGGACTGGCAATGCCATTGGTCGCCTGGGAGACAAAATCATCAAGAGAAAGGGATGTTACATTCACTCGAACCAATTCACTTATTCAATGGAACCTGCCCTCGCTTTAGCGCATAAAAATGAAGTTGACCGAAAAATCGCGACTGCGCCATACGCCGGTAACACAACTAACTAGCCCGCATAACCACCTTAAATACGACTGCGACTGCTTGCCTCATAAAAACGGACACAAGAGATGGGTTGACATCATCGCCACACAGTAAACTTTATAGATGAAGGAAACATGACTTTTGACATTCCTCGCTGCTTCACAATGCTAATACATTGCATGCTAGATGCTTTAGGAAGACACGCAAGGGCAAAATACGGCGTAAAGAAGCGCCGTAAAAATAATGCGAATTCCCCACAGAATTAATTTCCAGTTGAGTTACTTTGGCACGTTAATCTCGGTATCATTGTCTGTTCTCGTCAGTATTGTGTCTAACAAAGGAAACGGGTAAGGTACTCTTTGGCGCACGAGGGCACAGAACACCTACCGACAGTTTAGAGTTGCATAAGATAGTTGCCAGATTTAGGGATCAGTCTGGGGCTCTTCAATTTTTCAGGCCTCTAAGCTAGGACGATAGTTATAGCGTAAAAACAGGACGACAAAGAGACAAGTCGCCGTTCTGTTCTCGCGCTATAACTCTCCTTGTTGTCGTTCTGTTCTCGCGCTATAACTATCGTCATGTCATACCACCTAGCCCTAACTGCCACACTTCTCTGAGCTAGCCAAAGGTGAGTCGGCTAGTTCCGGTCCGGACAGGAAATAACGACTTGGTCACTTGCGTGGGGAACCCGAGACGAAGAAAAAATACAGAGGCCATAACGTCAAATTCGTGAGGCCATCGCGTCACAAACACCTGCACTACCTCCTAGCGGGAAAGCAAATGAGCACTTCGCGATTTTCGGCGAGCAGCTGCCGCAGCAGCCTTGGAAGCGGCGCCGACGGAGTGGTACACAGAGGAAGAAAAGTTCCTTCCTCCATGGAGTGGTAGGTGTTCTCTGCCGGCAGCGAATCAATGGACCTTTCCAGAAATCACAGCGTCGCGCGATCCACAGTGTCCGCTGGTGGATCGGCGCTGAGGCATTATGGGAGAGCGGAGCGCCGATGGTCAGAGCAGACGACGCTTTCCCGCTGTTGCCTGCTTCCATCGCGCGCTGTGAGTGGTTTTGGCTGGTGTAAGGAGCTGCCATTGTGAAGAAACGCTTGTTCTGATCGCTCTTTCATTCACGCATACTAGACTACGTTGTTCGTCGCAAATAACCATATTCATCACTGAACAACCCGAAATAAATAAGGAAAGCGGCGGGCACACTTGCTCGGTTCTGGAATGTGATAATACGTGAAAGTCACTGGGCGTTTCATTCATTGCTTACCCGCCAAGGTGGTCTAGTGGATAAGAAACTCGGCTGCTAGCCCGCAGGTCACGGGGTTGTATCCCGGCCGGAGCGGCAGCATTTTCGATGGCGGCCAAAATGTTTTAGGCCCGTGTGCTTAAATTTCTGGAGCCTTTCCCTACGGCGTCTCTCATCATCGCATGGCGGTTTTGGGACGTTAAACCCCAACATTTATGTTATTCATTCACTGCTTGGTGCTATTTCATGGCTTCGATGTTTGTGCTGCTACAGCCAAGTTGTACCTTTCTTATCTGTGCCGTCTTTGTGATTACGGGACTGAGATTTTACACTTGCCGCTTAACCTGTAATTAAATACGCAAATTTATTAAGGCGAGAGGCTTAAATACCTAATTATTAATTCACAGGGTCCCCTAATTATGCACCTAAGACGATTTGATGGAGAAGACCATCTTCTGTTTTTTTTTTCTCAGTTGATGTACTGATCCTACCCCGTCAGTCTATGGCTGTCAGCAGGGTTTTGCCTTGAGTGCGAAAGCGTGTTGCGTCGCGGCTGGGGGAGAGCACTGGTGCAGCTTGGGCATGGGCCGGTGTGGCTTGAAGGGGGCCAGTGCCCCTTTTGGACCCCTCCCCCCGGCTGACGCCCCAGCCTGCCACCATTCACACCACCCTTTCAAAACTTGCTGTACCTATCGAGGTTTGCACTGCCTCCAAAATCGGAGGCACTGCAAAACTGATTTTGCATGGCCACCATGATCAGACCACTTTGCACCAAGCTCGGATGTCGTGCAATGACGTGACCACGTGAAGTCACGTGATGTTTTGATGAGGTCAAAATTTTGGCGATGTCTGAAGTCATATATAGATTGTCATCACGCGTTTTTTTTTTCGGTCACTCGACGCCGTCGACGCGGGACGCAAATGGTCGAGTATCACGTTTGATGAGGCATCTAAGGTTTTCGCCTAAAAAGAAAAATTGACCGTCAGTGGCTTTGGCCTCCCGCGGAGTCGACGTCAACAGGAGTGGTGCAAAAATCACCGCGTGATGGCGTCAGCACATGATGTCATCGTGACATAACGGATCACTAGAATGTGTAAGGACATCATGACTGTCCCATGATCGCGTCATGAGACGTCATTGTCGCTTTGCACTTCTTTGTTATGTGATCGGCCCACCAATCCCGGAGGAGACTGAGCAGAACCAGGTGAGGTGCTGAAAGTTTGGAATGCCTCCAGTCATAAATCAGTGCAAAGCCACTTCAGGTGCAGAAAACATTTGTGGGGGAGGACAAATAAATTGACTGAACAAAGAGAAACAGACGGCTGTCACCTTCAGGTTGCCTTGGCTGAATGCATAACCATGCGTGTTTTTTTTTTTTGCATGGTTAGTGTTTATTTTGCTGTTTAATGCATGGTTATGTTTACTCGCATCTGATTTTTATTAACCATAAACCTACAGGCCTCACCTATTTTTGCTTCACGCATCTCTCTCTCTCTCTTTTTCCGTGCCAAGGCAAAGAGCGCTAGCTGTTTCATGATTATCGATACAAAAGCTACACTCGCTGCAGTTCCTTTCACATTGTCCGTTTATGTAGGCGGTGCTATGGCCGTCTGTGATGGTTAACGGACGTTCGTCACTATGTTTGTTGATAGCGGACGAGAAATCATTAACATGAACTTTTTATTTCATGGCATGAGTGGAACGGCTGACGACGCACGGATACGCTACCGTGTGCAGCGCCGTTTAGTCAGACGTCGCGGCCAGCAGTCAGGGTCGCAACTGCTGAGGTTCAGGGTCAGGCCCCGGCTCACGAGGACCACACCCGGTAGGCCTCGTCCACGAACCTGCTCCCGGCCACTGCACCCAGACAGGAGCCGTTCGGCAGGTCTCGGCCTTGGACCTTGAACAGAAACACCGGCGGACTCGACCCCGAACGAACACACCGGAGCTCGACCTAGCCGACACGTACGGGTCCCACGTCCGGCTCAGGAACGCTCCCAGGAACTCGTCCTCTCGAGCGGCGCACTGCTTCGTCTGCCTTCGTGGCCTCCACCCTCGAGCTCTCTTTTCCGCACGTTCCTTCTTGGCCAGGGCACCGCCAAGTACCCTCGGGTGCACCCTGCAGCTCATGAGCTCGTGGCCCACGTCTGAGTCTGGCGCGTCGCTCGGCACCGCTAGGCGATCCTAGATACAGCCAGCAACTTCCATGGCACCTGGATCCTCGGCCACCCTGGACCTCGCCCGGTTCCGTGCTCCTCTGTGCGCACTCCCACGTCTCACCCGGCAGAACATCTCGCTCGTCCCTTGCCGAAGTGCGGCGCTCTGGTGACACCGGCACTTGGTGGCATGGGTGCGACTACTGAGCAGTCAACCCGCATCGGAGACGCGATGCTCCATGCGGGGAATGGCCAGCCCGTCCAGCGAAGAGCGTGCGCCGAGGCGCGATGCTCGACGCAACCATGACCATTAGCCAGGCTACGTTCATCACTGTGTTGAACGGCTGACCGCGGAGGCGCCTCGCCGAGATCCGCGATGCCCTTGGCAAGGAAGAGAACAGCAGGCCAGGCCGCGCTCCGAGATGTAGTACTCGTGCCGGCAATGGCGCCCCAGCTGGTAGTTGGACGACAGTAGCGTGGACAGCCGCGTTCCCTGGCCGGAACCTGCATCGCCTGCGTCCGACGCTTCGGCCCGCTGTCTCCCGTCTCTCATCAAGCCAGGTCCTGAATGACTCGAGTTCTTCCTTTTCGTCGTCTTCATCATCCATTGGGTGTTCCTCTTCAGAATCTTCCTCATCGCTCAATCCAGGTTGGACAGCCACACTATCTTCACCTCTATGCACTTTGCTTTCCGATGTATGACGCTCTGGTGATACCGGCGCTTGATGGCATGGGTGCGACTACGGAGTGGTCAACCCGCATCGGAGACGCGATGCTCCATGCGGGGAATGGCCAGCCCATCCAGCGAAGAGCGTGCGCCGAGACGTGATGCTCGACGCAACCGTGACCATTAGCCAGGCCACGTTCATCGCTGTGTCGAACGGCTGACCGTGGAGACGCCTCGCCGAGATCCGCGATGCCCTTGGCAAGGAAGAGAACAGCAGGCCAGGCCGCGCCCCGAGATGCAGTACTCGTGCCGGCAATGCCGCCCCAGCTGGTGGTTGGACGGTAGCAGCGTGGACAGCCGCGTTCCCTGGCCGGGACCTCGATCGCCTGCGTCCGACGCTTCGGCCCGCTGTCTCCCGTCTGCCGCTGCTTCGGCTCGTCCCCAGCCACAAAGCCCACTGCCACGTGATGGTCGCCCGTGGCCCAATCGTGGCACGCCACCTCTATGGGCCACCACAGGTCATCAGCTGATTCGCTGACACTCACGCGCACATTACACGCGCCTTTTCCCGCACTTCCGTCGTTGTCGTTTTCTTCACTCATCACACCGTCTATACCTTTCCCACACTGATTGAGGCTTTCACCATTGCTTTCAAAGTCATTCTGACCATCAACAGCCTTCCACAGCAACGTTTTCTTGCTTAAGCCATCTGTGCCCAGATAGTGAATGCTTATTAGCACCTTAAGAATGTTAATGTTGCGTAATTTTTCCTTCTGAATACGCCTGAGGCGAGTTCTTCAGAT